CCCCAAAACCCCAAAACCCCAAAACCCCAGAAGCTAATAGTTGAATCTGATAAGTAAAGCATTTTAAAAGTTAAATTAAAGAATATAAGTAAGATTGATTATAAGATTATTTATACATAATTTTATTTGATATCTCAATGTCCAAAAAAGTAACTCATTCCCCAAATTTAGACTTTAAGCATTAGTATTCTAATAAATTTATAGATATAATTTGTAGAGAAGCGATTATTCAAAGATTTTCACGCCTTTAACCTATCTTTTGAAAGACCAGTGGCAAATGTAATCACTAGCAAGCAAATCATTAGAAATTCTATTGAAGCTATAAAAAATGATAAATCAAAATTAGCCTATAAGTATGCAAATACCAAAAGCATTGATAAATTGACTAATAGATCCATAGCATAAACAAATTATTATGACAACATGAATCATAAACTTATAAACAACAATAATCTTACTACTATAACAGAACTAACTGTTGATCATAACTACAATGCTAATGGAAGTATCAGTAAGAAAGACAAAGACCTTATCATAAATGCATTAAATTTCAACTAAAATAAGAATACTAATCTTGAATCAGTTTAGGTCAAAGACCTCAAACAAAGTCTTTCATTGAATAATAACAGCAAACACGAGAGAAGCCTAAATAGAAGCCAAAATAATATGGCTATGCATGATCACAATAGCTTTCAATAGATCAAGTCATAAATTACGATGCCTCAATTAAAAGAAGATGTAATATAGACAGCAATATTTGCTGTGAACAATCTTGACATATATGCCCAGAAGCCAAAGTCTGCTTAAAGATAGAGAATGAGACTAAGTGGGACATATGAGGGTGGAAGCATAGTCAAATAGATGAAGTCTAATAATGGACTTTAAACTGTGGAGGTGGGTTCACCTACGAGTGGTAGAAAGGTTTAAATTAACATCAATAGTGGTACTGGGGATGAATTAGCTTTTTAAAATGTGCTTGAGGGTAGAAATAATCTCAATTAAAATTATAATGCTATGTTTCTAGCAAAGTAAACTAGTAGTCCTAAGTACTCAAAACTAGTAAATATTAACAGCAAGAGCATTAACAATGGGAGAGATCAAGAAACTTATTTAACTGAATCGCTGAGTAATGATATTAAAAGAACCTATTACGAATAAGAAGGAGCGGGATCAATAGACTCAACTAGCCGCAAAAGTGGTAGTAAACTCATGAGTTACAACAGAGATATTAATCTAATCTCAATTAATGATTAAGATATTTAACTTGATTCTAAAATATAGCAATAAAAACTTCAATAATACAAGCTAAGTAAAGTAGATAAGATGTTTCCATAAAAATCAAGGTATGAGATATCATAAGGCTCCTCAGATTAAAATGCTACTAAATTTATGGCGAGATCATTTGACGGTACTACTTCAGCATAGAATTCAAGAAATAAAACTAAAAGTTCTTTAGCCAACCCAATGATGAGATCGATATTAAATGATTATAATCCGTAGCAAATATATGAGGCTAACACTATCTAGATTCCCTCAAATATGAATATTGAAGCTGCTAACATACATTTTTCTAATGCATATAGAGCCAATCAAACAACTATGAGGTAGTATAAGCAATCAAAAAATAGTAAATTCCGTTCAACCATCATGAATCCACCCTCGATAATGACCTAGCATAGATAATAAAAATTTTGTAACCAACCTCCAAATACCTCAGTATTGAATAAGTCAATCAAAGAAGATGATTATAATCAGTTAAAGCAACTACAGTAAAGCTAAGAGAAAAATAAGCGAAATAATTAGAGTGTTGAATATTATTCAAAAGATAGAAGACCCAAAGGCAAGACTATTGAGCATGATTTTATTACTGGTGAATCTAAAGAGAGACCAATCACACTTACAAATACATCGACAAGAATGTTTACCTCAATAAAAGACCAGGGAATAAATCATCATCACTATAACTAAGAATTCCGAAAGAATGTTGAATAATTTCCTAGTGTATTTAGAAGAACAAATGGTGAGTTCACTGCTTATCAGAACGCAGTCAAAAACCATCAGAGTATACTTTGTAAAAATTTCTCCCCAGCCTAGAAACTGTCAGTTAAAATATGAGTTATCTGTAGTAAGAAGTAAGTTTTTAGAATACTATTATTTTAATCTTAATTAGTTTTATTTTCTTTTATTTCTCTGTACAAATGAAATATTGCTTATTGGGGTTTTGGGGTTTTGGGGTTTTGGGG